ATAAAACTATTTTTTTCTAGGTGGTAGATTAGTAATTATACCATTTTTGGGTCAAACAAATGAACCCATGATACCATAATTAAATATTAAATATTAAATATTAAAAAAAATAGATAAATTATATAAATAAAAAATAAAAAAATTTAGGAGCATCTTTAATAATATGTATTTGTCATATTAAACAAAAACAGGTATGAATGTGTGATAAATAATAAGTATTTTTATTAATGACAGAAATGAAATGCAATATTTAAAACTGATCCATAAATGTGACCATTTTCCTTCTTGAGTGGTGGGTCAATGGTTCAACCATTCAGATTAATGGATCAACAAGTGATTTTATGGTAAAATAATATATTTTAAAAAAATAGAAAAATAGAAAAATAAAAAATACATAAAAAAAGAAAAGTGTAGACACATTTTTAACATTATATATTAATTCATATTAAAAAGATAAATGTGATCAAGGTTCAAAATATTGATACGCCGGTAGGGGCGTATCGGGCGTTTCGATACTTGTTTTTTTATTGTTTTTTTTTTAATTTTTTTCAAAACTGGTTCAGGGGAGCCGGTCTAGGACCCCTCCATCCCCTGAACCAGTCAGACCCCCGATACACCCATTGTAGGGGCGTATCGGAAGGGTCCTGGAACGATACGTATCGGCCGATACGGGCCGATACGTAACAATACTTTGAACCTTGAATGTGATAAACAAGAATTATTGTTAGTAATGATATAATGAAATACTAAATTCAAAATGAAATGGGTCAAATTTCCAAGCCAAATAGGTCAATGCATGATGTTATAATTGAATAATAAAATTTAAAAATGTAGAAATACAAAAAATTAGTAGAAAACATGGCAAGATCTAACATTACATAGCCATCATATTAAATAATAAATAAGAATTATTTTTATTGAAGGTGGAAATGGAATAAAAAATTAAAATTGTCTTGAAAATACAAAGTTTTCCATTCAAGGAATGGTTCAAGAATTAAATAGTCTAGGTAACCCATGATGTCATAATTAAATAATAAAAAATAAAAAATAGATAGAAGTCCTAAAATCTATAAAACAGAAAAAGTTTATAGAAAACATTAAAAGAAAATCTAGACGTATCTTTGATATTGTTATTATTATTACAATAATTATTATCTAAAGTTGTCATGTGCAGCACATGTACACACTTACTAGTACCTTTAAAAAGTATAAGGTGCCTTTGAATTTTGGGAATTTCTTGTGATGACCAAAATACCCTTATTTGTTAATTTGCTCCCATTTTATTGTGAGGTCAAAATTGTAAGGAGGAATTTTGTTTATGATGCATTTTTTATGCATTATATCATCCATTTATTATGCATTAGAATTAACAACTAATATGGAAAAGTGATGTTCATGTATCTTGTTTTCTTTTTTTTTTTTTTTATTAATTTTTATGCTGTTCATGTATCTTGTTGTTTTTGCAAGTAAGCTACTTCTATTTGATAAATCTTTCCCCTTTTATGATGAGGGCAAAACCTTCATTGCCTTAGATTGCTTGACATATTGGCCTCATTTTCAAGTGGCATCAGACCATAAATTCATGTGGCCTATAAATTGAAGTCGATGACTCGCATCATTAAATCTCAATGTTTTCTTGTGATAGTATCCGCGACATAATCTCTATAAAAAGCAAGGGAATAGTAGGGGTTTTGATGCTTAAAAGATTGTACTGAAATATTTTATTTTTCTATTGTATGGAAAAGCTCTCTCCAACCTCTTATTATTTCCTCTTGCTCCTCATTCTTTTATATGTTTTAATTGTTGGATGGGTGCTCGATCTCTCATCTCTCAGAATATGACTTGAAAGAGAAGTTTCATTTGCAGTCTTGTGGGAGGGGGGGTCTAAGCATGTTTAATGTCCTCTCAGTGGATCAAAATATAGTACCATTAGACATCTTTTTAATGGTAATACCATTAAATTAGTTTCTGGAAAAAAATTGAAACCTCTCCTTGGTTCCAGTAATACCAGACCTGCTTGGAATTGCTCAATACTTAAGCTTATGACACTTCTTGCTTTCTTGTATTATATTTCAATTAAGAAAAAGCTCATAAACACTAATCCTGTATGACTTTCTTCTATTTTCTAATGGAGGTTCCATTTCTTTGTAATTAAAATGAAATTTTGGTTTTAAAACAAAAAGCTTCAAAGAAAGAAATTTTGGTTGCATCTAAAATAGCCATCGAAAACCTAATCACTCAACTTTTTCTTAATACTTTAGAGTTTAGAGTATGGTTTCTTAATTCATTTCTTGCCAAATTTTTGTTTGGAGTCCATAGTTAATTACTTATATTACTTCTTGTTGCAACAAAAGAAAATAAAACTTTTCCTTGGTTAGATATCAAATTCAATATGACACGCATCTATATATAACCAGGACCCAACATATCCCACAGATTGTCCATTCGGGTAAAGTAGCATACTGAAATCTTGGGAGTGTCCTCAAAATGGGTACACAACCAGGCTTTACTGCTTTTAACATCTGTATTAGGGCTCAGTTTAGAAAGAGTATATATACAAATATAAACTGAAAGAATATAAATACAAATTTGTAGAGTACAAAGTCTTGCATTTTATATTTCTAAACCTGCATTTGCACTATTTGTATTTTTTTTTTTTTGTAAAGAAAGATTTCATTAAAAGAAGAAACAAGCTACAACCAAAAGACAAAAAAGAAAACAAATCAAGTAAACAGAAAAGAAACAAGCTAATAACAACCACTGCTAACAGAAGAAAAGTCTCTGAGAAGATAATCTGAAAAACAAAAGGGCACCGCCCAGCAGGATTTAAAGGAGGATGAATAACCAAGCTTTGCTGCAGCATTAGCAGCACTGTTCATACTTCTTGGACACCATTGGAAACTGTAATTCCTTCTAATCAACTGCCATCTCTTTAATGTCGTGGCAACAAAATAGAATGTCTGGACAGATATCAGCATTACAGTCACAAAAAAGCCTGATGAGATTTGCACAGTCTGATTCAAAGATTGTATTTGAAAAGCCCATCTGATCTGCAAAAGGCACTGCTTCCCATAGCTTCAGCTATAAGAGGCGATGAGGCTTTTAGAGACCCAAAACAAGCACCCCAGCACACTCCACTGTGATCACACAAAAGGAATCCGAAGGAAGCTTTATTCTTGGAGACAAAACCAGCATCACAGTTCATCTTAAGGAAACCTTGATCTGGAGGCTTTCATAAGAGCTCACCAATCTTCACCATCGGCTTGGAACAGCATTCCAATTTCTGCTACCAATGAAGATATTTCTCTGCTATTGACCTGTGGATTTTTGACAAAACAGCATAGGAACTTACCTCTTCATTTTCAAAATAAAACAAATTCCTATCTTTCCATATTTCCCATAAAATAAAATTATCACCATATTTTCTAAGGAATTTATATTTCCAATTCTTACTGGAGAGAAAATATTTTTTAGCCACTCCCCGAAGGAATTAAAAAATCTTCCCTGTTCTGGGTTAATGTCTAAGCCTGAGCCCAGCTATATACATCTGGCTTTATCACAAAGGAGTAAGGCATGTAAAATGTTTCTA